ACATTTCTTTAACCCTCACATCTCCTTAAATGGAATAACTCAGAAAAGACATAGCATGGCATTGTACTGAGGTGGTGTGCTTGGGGGCCTGGCTGATTGAGGCAGGGTATCTGGAGCTGCTTGCTTTCACATGTGCCGCCTGAGCGCTGCTGGGGCCAGTATGCTGAGTTTGTGTGGTGTGCGGAGCTTGGGATTTTGACAGTTTCATTCCCCGGGCCGTCAACAAGATCATGCTCGGCCAGGATGGAGACAAGAGATGAACAGATATTCTTGCAGGCAGGGAGGGAATGCTGTGTTTTACAGAACTTAAATTTGATAATACATGAGGGGATTTTCACTGTTAAAACTGACTCAGGGAGTCTCCTGTGCCCAAACTCTAAATTTGGACTCTGAATCATGAGCTACTATTCTTTAATAGCTCTCAGTAAAGCAAAAGATGTCATTTCAACCAACATTTTTCCAGGGGAAAAATACCTCTCTGATGATGATTACTTCTTGCTCTATTAATAATCAGATGAAATGATTTTGCTCTGGATTTGGTACATAGTAAAGTTTCTCCCTCAGGCACAAGAAACTAACTTCAAAAGTTTTAGCTACAGCAGGTGAAAGTTCAAGGGAGCCACTACCCACCACTGTCCCTTAGAAGAGAAAAGGTGCCACATTGACCTGTAGGTCCTGCTGTGCATCTTACCAATGGGTTTTACTCTTGTGAAATAAATGCCTCTGGTCAACCAAAACAGCTCTAAAAATTAATGAGGTGCACATAGAGGCTAATCATCTTCCTGGGAGAGGACTACGGGAGCAGGCCCCAGAAAAGGTTGTGAATGCTGTAGGGGCCACAGGAGGAAACTGGCAATTGGCCCGTATCAGGTGTGCAAAAGAAAGTTACAGCTGAGTGGGATCTGGATTACCAGGAGGAGTTTAACACTTGGCTCTGTGCTTCCCATCCTCCACCAAGCCATAGGATAATAGCATGGTGCATGTGTGTCACGTTAAATTTATCAGGCATTACCATTTGTAGTCAATGGTTCTCATGGGAAAGGCTCTGTTACCCTGGTGAGTAGGAAGTGTCTCAGAAACCCAGTGCATTGAGAGTATGTGTCAATTGTTTCCTTCCAGGCGCTTTGGGAAGGGAGCCTAAAAGTTTATCTCAGCATTTGCAACAATATAAACAGATGCCAAGCGCTTCAAGTACGCAGAAAAGAAAAATGTCTTGCTTGGCGTCCCTGAACAGACTTGAGGAGGGGAAGGCAAAAAGCAACATTAAGTCTCTCCTTTGCAGAATAGGGAAAAGCAGCTAAGTTAATGCAGATGCTTGCCTGAGTATATACAACTTAGTTTCATATTACCAAAATCTGTACAGTGCCCATGTGGTCAAAAGATTACAGAGACTGTCCAGTTCTGTTGGCAGCATATTAAAGTATTAAGACTACAGGCTTACTATGATGTGTTTCTATTATCAAGCTGACCACAGAATTGAGGTGATTCAAAGGAGGACATTGTTTTAATAGAGATACTGGAATAGCTCCATCCTTTTGCGTCTGGCTTTTGGATGCGGTCTTGACTGCCAGAATTCATTGGGAACAGCTACCACTATCTTGGGGCCACCCCTGCCCTACAGCTCCTGCTTGTGCTCAGATTTCTCTGTCCTTATGCAGAGTTTATGCCATCTGCTGTGTTAAAGCTGATGTCTCCAGTGGCTGCAATAGCTTTCCTGGTTTCCTTTTGACATGCTAGAGCTAAATCAGGTGTTGATCTGTAAGGTCTTGCTGCAGATGTCCCTAACTTTGGTGTTGTGGCTCTGCCTATTCTTTCTGTGATGTGAGCCCCTTTCGCCAAGATCGCAGTGCTGGCACACTGAGCTACAGGCAGCAGATGCGCGTCCCTTTTTTTCTGTCACTGGTGTGCTGCCTGATTTTGGACCTTGCTCAACCCTGGATTTCTGTTTCTTTTTTTGTCATGCTCCCTGAGATGGCAAGTTATTAGTGTCTGATACTGTACCCAGCAGTTGTACGGCTTTTGGTGCCCGGCAGCAGCAGAACTTCCAATACCTCAGCCTAGATGATACTGCCTAAAAAATAACTGTACTTCACTCGGAGAGATTTTCACTAACTCTTCATAGCTGTTAGTTTCTATCTTGGTAACATGGACATATATTTGTATATCTGTTTTACTTATTTATTTAGTGTGATCTTTAGTGTGCATAGTTACCACTAGTACATAAACTTGAGCTTGCTGTAGCACTCTAGCCACCAGAATGATGATGTGATCCATTTCAGGACCATCACAGGCCCTGTTGCACCATCATCATCTGTGAGTGAGAAGGGAATTGCTTTATAAGCCTCTGCTTTCTACTACAATTTCCACATAACAAATTACTTTGGAGCCAAAATGTAACACACTTAGTGCCAGTCTGGGGATGAACATATTTTTTCAAGTAATAGTATTGGAGAATTTTATTTTTCTTTTATTGGCCTTTTGAGGATTCAGAATGTAGTATTTAAGAAGCCTTTTTCAGATGTTTTTTTATGCTTAAGTAATTCAACAATTCAACATTTAATATTTCTAATTTGTCCTTCATGACTGCTTTTCAGAGGAGCTACTCCTGGAGATCTGTGTATGCCAGTAGTCTTGCTGGGCTGTAGAGTATGTATGTAGATGGGTATGAGGGACAGTGTATTATACGTAGGACATGAGCTATTTTCATAAGCTTCTGGCCCCATCCTTGCATACAGCTCATCATTCCAATATTTGCAAAGCCCTCGGGGAACTCAGCTAGCTATTTTAAAGTTGCTATCAAGGAGGGCCACTCTGGTCAAGCAACTTTTTAAAAGATCTGGGTTGCTTTCAGTATGAAAATTCATATGCAAAAAAGGTGAAAGACTCTCCAGACTTCACAGCTGGCCTCAAGAGTGTGTGGAATTTGAAATTGAAAATGCAGTTTTTCATTGAAAAGTCAGTTTCTTATTTTTTCAGTAGGGTATTTTGTGCCTAAATTTTTGGTGGTTCAGTGTCAAAAGATTGGATTTATCATCATGAGGGATTAGAGGTGCATCTTTAGCGGTGAAGTTAACTGGTGGCTGCAGACTCCGGCTTTACTGTTGTGCTGACATTTCCAGAGCAGCTTCCCATGCCTTGTGAAGAGGTGGTTCATCTGGAACCTTGTAATGCTGCTAAAGGTGAAAGGAAAGACCAATTGGTACTCTGTAATGAGGGGAAATCGGTGGAGATGGGTTGGTGGCAAGGGCAAGTTTTCTCTCTAGTGTTCTCAAGTACATGACTGTTTTATCAAGTGAAGCCTGACTTTTGTTACTTGCTTGACTTAATTCTTGTTCCTGAGCAAATGGGAGTATGGCTGCTGTAGAAGGGAGAGGTGGACTGAGCTGAACAGAGAAGTGTTGCAGAGATATGTGTCTGGTAACACAGAAGCATGTCTCATCTGGCTTCAGATGCCATTGCCATCATCTAGTTGGGTGCCCACTCATTTGACAGAAGTTCCTGTGGTTTCAGGAGTGATGTGATTTCATGATGTGGACTGCGTTTCAAGAGAGTCTTTTGGCTGAATGTCTTCTGTGACAGATACCTGTAGGTCGTGGAGTCAGGACCGAGGCGTCTCTTGTCTCAAAGCCACAGCAGTCATGGAGGCTGGGGTCTGAAGGCTGCAGTTTGGGAGGGTCTCCCCTCTCTCTGGGGAGGCAACCACCACACAACTTGGGCTGGGACAGTGCTTTACGATGGAGCACAGTTCTCCAAAAGCGTAGCCTCTGCCTTCTCTTGAATGTGCCATCTGGCTCTCAGGGGGTTTTAATAGCCATGCATTCATGCAAGGTGTAAGCAGATGCTAAGAATAGATGTATGGGAGGTGACAGAGACAGTGACTCTGTGGAGGTAACAGCTCTGCAGGAACGCTCTGCTGTGACCAGAAGCAAATGGCTGTGCCTACAGATGAATACATTTGTTCTTACGTGCATTTGTGGCTCATTCATTCAGATAAATGTACTTCAGTCAGTAATAGGGCATGTGTGTTTATCTTAAACTCTCTGCTTAGCTGTGCTGAGACGTGAGTGGGAAAACCAAATTTGGTCAAAAGCATAGAATACAGCGGTGATTTATCAAGAGTTAAATCTGAAGGAGCTGTTTTTAAAGCTTGCAGTAAGATATCTGAATTATTTGGGCACAGAAAAAGACATATAAATGCTTTCTACAAGCACAAGGAGAGATACTTACCCTAAGCTGGTAGATGTGCAGAAATCTCTGAAAATAAAACATTTTTCTCAAACTCATCAAGAAGACACAAGAATTGGCAAATGTAGTTTAAGTGCTTTAGTTTGAAATGTAAGCCTATATGAAAGGGAAAAGGCATACTTTGTGTTTACAGTCAACATATGATTTGACACTCTGATTACTTAATTTATGTTTTGGAAAGTGTCAGGTACTTAGAAGTTTACAGTAGCTTATGTTAGTCCTTCCTCATCTGTTGTGTTATAATAATACCCTAATGATATTTTGACACTTGTTATACAATGGACTACATAGTCAAGTGATCTAAATTTTGTTGCTCTAAACTCTTCCATTAAGCTGAATCAGTTTTCACAAGGTAGGTGTTAAATCCAGCCAGCGTATTTGGTAAAGTGAATGGAAAAAGTAACGTAGAATGTTTTTGGAGAGCACTGTGTTCAATATTGCAAAATGAGTATGATGGCCTTCTGTGGTTTTAATTTTTATTTTCAAATGAGTCACAAGTACAGAATAATTATCAGAGTCTGCACCGGCATGCACTCTCAGAAATGATTGTAGAAAAAAATACTTTTCTAAATGGTAGCTAAAGAGGTCCTAGCTCACATTTGGAGACAAGAAAAATACTACTCATTAATGTTAGGCCAGTGAAGAAAGATGCTTCACTTGCTTATTTGACTGAAATGTAGCATGAACTGTACTGGCCAGCAATGCAAAAACTATGTGCAGTCGAAGTTAATATTTGCTGGTTTTGTGTTCCCTAGGTCATCACACTATTTACATTGGGGTCCATGTGCCGAAGAGCTATAGAAGAAGGAGGCGTCATAGAAGAAGACCTGGGCACAAAGAAAAGAAAGAAAAGGAGAAAATCTCTGAGAACTATTCCGACAAATCAGACGTAGAAAATGCTGATGAGACAAGCAGCAGCATCCTTAAACCACTCAGTAAGTACTGGTTTCAGTTGTCACTCACTACAGTGGTCTGTTGTCTAGTGATCTGCTCCAGATCTGATCATGGAGGAAGAAACTGGATCCACGAAAACAGCCATCTCATGTTGCAGGGTTGGAGTAGTCTTAATCACTTGCTGTCGAATGGTTGCTGTGGCTTGGAAAAGGGACAGGCTGGAGCAGACATTTCATCCCTCTGTACCACCTGAGTTTGCTCCTGAGCTAATGCCAGCCAGAAACAGGCCAAATTTTAAAAAGCAATTTGACACTGTGTGTAAAGAGATAGCAAGGAAATGCAAAGACTGAGTAGATGCCTGGGCAGATCTGTTGCAGCTTCTGCCCTGGCTCTCAGGATGTGAACCCTCTCTAGAATGCAAGCACCCTGTGGTTTCAGCTAGAAACAGACTCATAGGAGCAGGTCGGTGAGAAGCACCAAGACCACTGCTATAGACTGAGAGAAACATACCCACTTGGGATTTGGCTTCATTCTATCAATGACTTGTGGTTCTAATAAGTCTTTTCCCTTTATTAATTAACCAGTTTTAAGTTTTGCAAACAGAAAGAAGAATAAAATGCAGCATTATTCTATGTTTGAATATCTGTAGGGGTTGAATATCTGAATTTTGATAGGCAGATAAGGGTCTATTTTGGATGCCCTGTACCTCCATTCATACTGAAATTGTTAACCAGAGGAGAGAGATCTTTATCTAGTGTCATTACTATGCAGCTCTCAGTAACATTGTAGGAGACTGTCGTTTGTTCTGAAATGTGGGGGATGGCTGCTTAAATAGAAGTGGGAGAGAGATGGTGACAGCTTGCTAAAGTGGGAACATGCTAACAAGGTTTGAATATAGGAGAACAGCCCTATGTTATATGGATATGATATAGCTCAGATTATTGGGGCTAATTCCAAATGGTTGGAGTTTCATTAAAGAACTTGTTTGTAAGTGGGAAAATGTGCACGAGACGTAGAGGGAGGAGCAAGCAGGGGTCATATAACCTGATCTTTGATGCAAGAAATTTGTGAATTTTTCATTTTAAAATTCTGTTGCTGTATAGTTGCTGCATATAAAGAGAGTAACATGGGATCAGATCAGTCATGTCTTTAGCCCAGGGCCTGTTACTCTCGGTGGTGCAGATACTTCAGAGAGCAGCAACAGAAAGGAAGGCAAGTCACAATGTCCGTTTGCTCTTCACAGCTGTAGTTCTCTAGTTGTTCCAACTGGTCAATGCTCATCAATACTCAGAAACCAGGAGTTAATTTACACTGAAAGACATAATTACTTGTCTTCAAGAACTCTAGATATTTTAAGTTTTATATTTGCACCTCTGTTCTCCTTTGGTGGGCAGGTGACCAGATCTGTAGAAATTCCTTTTTTTGGCTTCTGGATGTATCGATAACCTAGGGGAATTGTGTTCACAGGCTGATTGTGCCCACGGTTGAAAACCTATTTCTTCCATCAGGTTTTGATTTTCTGCCTTATGGCAGTTCAGCATTGTTTCTGTTTTGTGTCCTTTGAGAAAAAGTTAATGGTATTTTTTCCTCTATTGTTTCTACAGGTTAGTATGTTCTTGTCTACTCTTCATCTGCATGTAAAAACGTGCAGTCTATTAATCTTTCTCTAACTGAGAATTTTCCCATAGTCTTTTCCACCCTGACCTCTTTGCACTATGTATTTTTGGAGTGGGATCACTTAAATACCACACAATATTCCAGGTGTCCTATGCAGTAGCATTAATACTACATCATTTGTAACTTTTTCTGTATTGTTCATCGTCTCATGTATCCAGATACTTTACCAGGTTCTTGCAGGGACTTGCTGTTTTGCGCTGGTGGCCAGATCTTTTTACGAGCTGGCACAGTTAATTTAGAACACTGTAAAGGATAGGAGTAGTTCAGATTACTGTCTTGAATTTCCAAACATTGAATTACATGTTGCCTCATATCCCCAAGTTTTTTTCCCCTTCTGAAACTCTTGTCTTCATAGTTGACCTGAATTATTTGTTTCCTACACTTTTTTTGCTTGTTGACTTACTCTCTAGTTCTGCTTTTGACATTCTCCATCATTTATAAATGTCTCTATTTCCATTTCATTTTCTGTCTCTTAGGTGGTTGTCCATCTGAGACAGTTGCTTGGATATTCAGACTGTTCCGGCTTTAGATGTCTCTTACTGGAACTCTGGTGAAGGCTTTTTGTGGGTCTGAATGGCTTGTGTCCTGTGTACCCCACTCTCAGTCATGGCAAGTGTGTCCAAGAGAAGACCAGTTCTTTTCAGGCAAAGCTTACTTAGTCGGGTGTTCATTACTGGCAATCATGGCAAGAAATCTGAGTTGTAACCCTGTTTTTTAAAATCTTCATCTGTTAATAGTAAATGTTTGAGGGGTATGTGGCTCAAATTCAATTTCAAAAGAATAAGAGTATTAGAAACAAAGAATTGGGAAATTTTGAACAGCAGTTTTAATGGAGTTGGGAGAAACGAAATATATTACATATATTTGAGACAGCTGTCAATATAGAGTATGTGGCATCAGCAGCTGAAATATCTGTCAGGGCTGTGTGGTTTAGTAGAGAGGGACAGAATGAAGGCATTTGCTACAGAGTAGGGGTGCCACTTGGCCAGTGGCTGCATTGTGGCCAGGAGGGAGAGAGTTTTGGATTTTGCTTTTCTTTGAAGGGGTGGGATGGGGAAATAACAACTGAGCAAGAAGTGAAATGCAGAGCATGGAGACAACCAGAGAGTGAGCGTTAGTCTAACATACTTGAGGTCATTTTACAGGGATGGCTGATTACAAAGGGACTACATCAGCCAGAGCTAGACCAGCTCTGCAGGGGCTTACTGGATATGCTTGTGGGGTACACAGTGTTTCCATGTCGTCAGAAGAGAAGGAAAAAAAGAAGCGCTGGACACCAAGGAAAGAGGAAATCCTGAGCCCGCTGTGCCGTTTTACACAGCTCAGCACCTTTCTCGTGAAGGCACCCAAGAATAGAAGAGCGAGGGTGTTGCAGTTCCCAGGATTAAGGACTGCTGGGACAGCTGTGTTTATGACCTTTGCATAACACCGCTTTGCATGATGGCTGGCTGTAGCCAGGGACTCTGCTCGCCTTTAAAAAACAGGATTGGATTTACGCGTGCTTCAGGTACCCATCAGAGACTAAGGCTCAATGAATGCTGGGTTGTGAATATAGCGTGTAGGACACTGCCTTCAGAAAGACTGCAGAGAAGGTGATAGGAGTATGCAAGTTTAGTAAGATAATAACATGAAAGTGCTGTTTATTGGTGAGACGAAGGGACTGAATTGGAGGATATTTCAGTCTTTTCTTTAGAATTGGAAGATTTTTTTTGACTCCTCTGTTCTGTTTTGTTAACTATATTTTAAAAAAAGCAAAATCCAATTTTACATGAAGAAAACCCAAACATCTTAAGGAAAGGCACAGTGCATCTCAGTGTATAAAATCCACTGTTGTTGATTTTTGAAATTATTAACTTGGCCAAGTATTAGACACTGTCAGTTCAGCTTGTATGTAACTGGTAGTTTATTTCACCTTCAGATGCAAGGACAAGAATATGAAGTTTGATTTGAAAAATCTTTAATAATAAAGTTTTTTAAATAGTTCCTAAAAGTTTAGGAAACTGCTTGATTGTCTCCGTATACTGAGAGCTTTGTTTTTACTGAGTAGAAAGCTTAAGCCAGCTTTGATACGATACATCGCTTCTATTTCTTGATCCCTCCCTAAGGACCATGAAGCCTAAACCTAGATATCTTACCTGAAGATAATTTCTCAGCTTCTTTGATGAAAACTCTGCAATCAGTTTTTCACCAAATCTGGATTTGACTCACCAGGTCAAGCTGCCTGTCCCACAACAAACGAACCTGATGAAACATGTCTGTGGATACAGGCAAGAGAGTAAACAGGTCCAGAAACACAAACCTTCCCTATAAATGTTTTGTTTCAGTTCAAAACTGTTCTAGCTGTGTTTTTATATTTGGGAATTGGTGCAGTCTGGAAATGTCAATCCTTTTTATAAAAGCTGGGTCCAGTTCAGTCAAACAAGCCAAACTTTGGTATTCCTTAACTCTCTCCAGATGGGAGGTTGTTTATAAAATTGAACATGTACAGATATGTTTTATCCTAAGTAAATTACTGCTTGGGAAAGATACCTCCTTCAAAAATCCAGACAGGGATATTCTCTGATACACTGAGGAGGCGGCTTGAAGGTGATGTTCCCTCTGCAGAGCCCTTTCAGTATCTTCCAGGCCTGCAGGGGCTGTCTCTGCTCATGGAGAGAAAATTGGAGTTCACGCCCTTGTTCTCAGGCAGGACTGCTGACACTGGTGCTAGCTGAAATGTGTCTTCCTTAAACCGCAGACTATTACAAATCCATGTTCCAGATGAAGCGTACCAGCACCTTATTGCTAAATGCACCTCCTTTAACCAGCCTGGCCCTTGTTTCCACTTAGGACCAGTTAGAATGAAACATTTTTTAGCAGTGGTTATTCTGTACCATCCATCCATACATGCTGGCATACAAGTATATTCCAGGTTAAAAATATTACGTTACTGGTAAGTGGACTTCAAATATCCTCTTCTTATCTGCCTAAAACACACATAAAAGTTGTAAAACAGATAAAGATTTATGCTGTCAGAACACTGCAGAAGGGGAAGGATAGCGTATTGAGAAGTGATGGGTAAAACGGGGTTTTTGGTGTGAAACTTCAGTGATTTTTGTAGTGCTAATGGCTGGAGTGTTGAGCTGCTAGAATACTGCACATATTCAGTTAGCCTCTGGTTAATGATGGTCAGTGTTCTTAGAGGGGTGAAGGAAGGAATCAGCTCGACAGACTGGGGAGTTGATGGTGGAAAGGCAGCTTGTCAGCTTGCACAGGTAGAGGTGTCGAGCCTCATTCTGCCTCCTCAGGTCGACTGATTGCTTATCTCAGAATGAAGTGGATGCTCTTACTTGCAAGGGACAAGACAAGGGAGGAACAAGGAAGG